AATCTGGAAATCCCTAAAAAATCGTAAAACGTCAGTCCAAGGGTGTGTCAGTCATGGTGTGTCTGAAAACATGGGCTGCTTTTTCACAGATTGAATCGGTACTGTCAACCAGCTGGAAAAACTCATTGGAGCTGTCTTTCAATGGCTGGGTACCATTGGAGTAGGAAATTATATATCACGACATGAATGATTTCCCAAACAAGCCATTCATCAACTAAGTTTTATATGTTTTATGAATCCAGATAGTAGCCTCAAGGGTTTCATGGGTTGAATGTTCAACTCCTAGTAGGTCATAAGAAAAATCGGCCAAGGGGGTCGAGCTCCATTGGTTTTGTCGACCGGAGTTGGTGCAACTTGGGATTTTCACTTTGGAAAGCTTTGGAAGCACAAAGACGTTGCAACTTAATAAACATGCGTATGTGGACTGAATACCTCCAGTGGGGAATTTACACCTCATATGTGTGTAGTGATATTGCATACATTATTAAAGCTACAGTATGATACAGTCAATGAACACAACCATATAGGGTCCTTCTCAAATCGGGGAACATTCAGAAACGATACCGATAGTAGTAAGCTCGGGACAAGCGGACTGAAGTGAAACCTCCAAAAAATCCTAGTCAAATGCACGTTTCCTTGGACATACACTCTGGTAATACATCATGGCAATGAAAACAGTATTTTTGTTTGTTCCCACTTGAATGCCCAATTGGGTAGCAAATCGCTTCACAATTAACATGGAAAATAAACCATGAATCTGGGTAAATTCTAATATTTCACTAACCTGAATAGTTCGGCCATGAATGGTGATGATTCCCTTATTAATCATGATTCCAGGGCTCGGGAGAACAGGGTTCGGTCGTGATGAAATTTACCCAGAAACATATCCAGATCGCGTCCTACAGGGATTTCCCGTGACAAATACCCTCATATCCCATCCCACCATTACACCAAGCAGGTTGATATCCTGTGAAAATGTTGCGCTATGTCTATGTCATACTTCCCCGAAATCCATGTAATGTGGTTAAAACAATGCCATAGACTACCCATGACTGGGAATGGTAAACATACCACCTATAAAAATGGTGATGACTGGGGGATGGTTTATTATTGCTTTAACCGCATTAGTATAACTTAACCATCTTTAACAATCAAGCAACCATCAACCAACCATCATCTATCACTTGTTCTCCAAGGTTTAGTGGTCCCCTTTAAAAACCTGTTTTTGTTGACGGCTAACCCCCGGATGAAATCGCATAAAACTCTCCTCCGATCCAGGATCTGGTGAGGTCCCCTGCAGGTTGTGTCCTCGGAGAAAATTAGCGAGGCAAAACGTTTCAACGTAATGCGAGGTTCTGTCATCTTTAGTATTATATAAGTTACCCTCCAGTAAATTAACATAGACCCTGCCAGATAGGGGTTGGAAGATTGGTTTCCACTTAAAAATTGTGATTTTCAGGGTCTATGTTTATTAACAAGGGAAAACAATTTTAAGTATTCAGCATCCCATTTTTCAATATGATACTTCTGGGATCGTCATGGGCTACCTCATTTTGAGCCATGTGATTCACGTGATCTGTAGCAGAGGAGCCTCAGATTCTAGTCCTTTCCCGCCCTTGGGCGGTTTGTTTCGGTGGGTGAGTTCACCCCAAAAGTGGAGTAGCCCTCCAGTAAACTAACTAGCATTATGGTCTGTTTTTTTGCATCATTCTAAAATTCCATTATTACCTCTTCAAACTATAAATGGATCATTTATAGCTATGTTTACAAATGGATCATTTATAGATGATAAAAACATCTTCAAAGGCGGTGAAAAATGACCAGAGGGCCCCTGAAGTTCCAACCTCCCTGGGTCCTTGAGAAAAAAAAATCGGCTGAGCACTGCCTCGTTACTAAAAAAATAGTACGTCTACCCATCGAACTATAGTGAAATGTACCAGCAAAAATCAACAAAACCATCAAAAACCACGGAAAAACCATGAACAACCATGGAAAAACAATGGAAAAACCATGGAAAAACCATGGAAAACCCATCCAATTGACCTATCATAAAATCTTGTTTTTAGCATACCTTAACGCCAAGCCCCGAGTACGCCAAGTCAGCCAAGTCACTGAGTACGGTAGCAGGCAGCCACTGCGCCGTGGAACGGGACCAGTACAAGACCTACCAATGAAGAGACAGGTGGTGAGAAAGTGATAGGGGTATATCAATGGTATATTAATGGTATATTAATGGTATATCAATGGTATATCAAGGGTATATCAATGGTATATTAATGGTATATGGGTATGGATCAATACCTATTAATAACATTTTTAGGGGAATGAACATCCATAAATCCCAGCTATTTTGATGTGAACTACAGGGGTACAAGGTTTTGACACACTGCCATATCAATGGTATATCAATGGTATATTAAGGGTATAATGGTATATTAAGGGTATATTAGCCATAAGCCATATGCTCCATGTGGGCAAAAACAATGCCATAAACCACCCCATGTTTGATGGTTCATACCACCCATGCTCCATGGTGATTTTGGGGCTGGTTTATTACCCATATGCTCCATGGCGCTGGAATGTGCAAAGCAACATTTGCCCGAACAAAAGCACCAGTCATGTAGGTAAATATACCAGCACCATGGGGCATATGGGTAATGTAGATGGTTTGTCAAATTGTTCTATAGTCTTAAAACATGTTAAAACTTAATCAATGATTACACCCAAAAGTTATCATAACTGGTTGGTGGTTTGAACATCTTGAAACATATTAGCCAATGGGAAGGATTATCCCATATATGAAATGGAAAAAACATGTTTGAAACCACCAACCAGTAAGTGATGATGGCATTCCCAACTCTTCATGGAAATTCATAATCCATTCATGTTCCAAACCACCAATCAGGGCATAAGTTATGACTAACACACACCTAAAAGGTAGTTATCCTTACACCATACACCATTTTTTTCGGTCGTCCCAGGGCCCATTTCATTGGAGACTGGGATCCGTTGAAGTGGCTTTTTGCCATTCGAAAAAAGATCCGAACCATAACCTGGTGGATTATGACTCAGCATTTATGGATGTGTCTCATGGTTTTTTCATCCAATTTCTGGTTGTTTTCATCCAATTTCTGAAAGCTAGTTGGTTGATGGTGTATATCCCATGAGATCCCAATATCCCACTGAATCGAGTGTGTTTAGTGGTTATATAAATTCAACTAACTTGACAATGGTGTCAATGAACGGCAGGATATTTTCGTCTGGGCTTTTTCCTGGTCATGAGTTACCTTGAGACGGCAATGATTGTGTAGATTTGTGTAGGATCTCCGTTGTAAAAATTGCTGCTTGGTGTTTCAAGCCACAAAATGGATAGCAAAAAAATCCAACAATCTGGATTTACTGTAACCAACTTCTGGAGTTGGGAGTTTGGGGGCTAATCAACCTTCGATACCCTGCCAAAAAGCAAGATGTTAACTGGTTAGATTCACATCGCGCCATTCAGAGCAAGAACCCAGGCTCTCCACTGTAGATAATATGGTAAGTCCAAGGATACACCATGGTACCATAACCAATTTTACCAGAAATAGGCAATTGGAGGTACTGTTACTAAAGCAATAATAAACCAACCACATTAATTATTAATTGTTTATACATCTTTACACCACCCATTCACTGTAAATTTGGGCATTTCGTGCACCCGTGCCCGAAAATCAAAAAACAAAAAAAACACCAAGTCACGACACCTCGTCGCATCGCCGGGATTTGTTCGCCACGCGAGTCCGAGTCACTAAAATCCTTTGGCCACGTTGAAAAGCCAATGAATTAGTGTCACCAACCGCCTTTGCAGGCTGACACCAACCGGATCTGTGAATCTGAATGAGACTTGAAAAAGATACAAAGATACCTAGGGGGTATATGTATCCATTTATTGGATACCCCAAAATTCCCAAAATCTTGGGATCTTCCCCGTTTTTAAACGCACAGCATATCAGCATATACAGTACCTTGTGGAAAGAACATGAAAGAACTGCAGATTCACTTCGGCAGTTTCACAAACGTCCTCACGTTTGGGTCAAAACAAAAAACCCATCGGTTGCACGATGTATTTGGGCCTCTGTGGGCCCTTTCGACACTACATGAATTGCTGCTTGGTGGCATTCAACTTTCAGACCCAGTTTGCAAGTTCACCAACAATAATACCCCAACCGTTAAACGCAAATTAATGGGATTCTATATATATATATTATAGATCTATATAGTGATTTATAGGGGTTTAACATGATTTAACCAACAAACATGAGAATGTTAATGGGAATATCCTCTGGTAATCAATCTGGCAATCCACTAGATAATATATATATATATATATATGATGTTCCCATTAAAAAAAAAAAAACTCCATTGTTGTTGTTTTTTTCCAGCCAGCCACTGTTGATTACCAGAGATCAACAAAATCCAAGACTAGGAAAGTCGAAACACATGAAGCCACCAAGCAGAATCAAAATGACAAAGCTCTGTCCCAAACTCCGAAGAGCACTAGAAACCACCTTCCGCAGAGCATGGTCCAGTTTCTGGCTGGTCTGAACGTAAGCTAGAAGGATCATCCCAAACAAACAGGGTTCAACATAAAAAGATCTTCAAAACCACCAGGTGTGCAGCTGCAAGTGAATTTGACAGCACCTTCAATTCTGGGGGAAATTTGGAAAAAGTGCAGGATGCAGATTTTCAGGTGCCGTCTCAAAATTGGAGATTCCTGAACTCAATTGACCGGGCAGTGAACATATGGCCAGTGAGCTTTGGGCGGGGGTAGACTCCCAATCTGATGAAAATTAATCAATAAAAAATCCCCATGTGTGTAACAACCTCCCTAAAGTTTCTGGGGAAACGCCGTCTTTGTTGATGATACGTAACCACTTTGTGTTGCTAGGTTTACCAGGTTGGTTATATCATTTGTGTTGATGGCACCCTCATTTTTTCATGTTTTTTCATGTGCTTTCCCATCTATGTCTGGAAAAACCAGCTTTTCGTCGAAATCCCAATTGTTCAGGTCCCCATTCCTACACAGGCTTCAGGCTTCAGAAGCTGAAGCCGTCTGCTGTTGGTCCTGATGGCTGGCTGATTGGTGGTTTCAAGCGCCATGATATAGTTTCTATGTGATATATTGTATTGATTAACACCGCCATGATATAGTTTTTATGTGAATTATATGTTATATTGATTACCAATGACTATATATAACATTAAATATAGTACATATATATATATGGGTAAATTATAATAATTCACTAACCTGAATAGTTCGGCCATTTGGGGATGATTTCCCTTATTGACCATGATTCCAGGGCTCGGGAGAACAGTGAGGTCGTTATAATTTACCCAGATTTGTGTATATATATATATATATATATTTAACAATCGGGATCATCATGCCAGGTTGAGATTGGTGCGAACCTTTAGAATCTCTTCGGAACCGCCCTTTTTTTACCACGGAATGACATGGGCAGTTTTGAAATTGGAGCATCGTCCATTAGCAGGTATGGTTCACTGATACAGCAACTGGTTGGGAACCACAGGTTTTAACTTCGGTTACCTATACATTCCCATGGGCCCTATCCCCAACAAAATATTCTCAAAATCTCTTGGAATGGCAACTGCATGGAAAATCGCCAGTTTTGACAGCTACATCAACTATCAGCCAGGTGGCCATCATCGGGTTGAAAAGATGATGAACAAATTGGGTGCAAGGTTCCCCTTGCAGATCTGGGCAAACCATCATATGTATTTATATGTCATTAGCCTAAAACTTGCGGCCATTTAATGGGATAGTTACAGTATCCTTACTAACCATGATAAGCATGATTCCAGTGAGGGAGAACAGTGAGGTCGCGATAATTTACCCAAATAGATTATAAGAAAATATAAGAAATGTACCCTCCGGCAATCAACCTGGCAGTTGAAACTCTTCTATACGTGGAGTTTTAGTTTTAATGGGAACATTATCTGTAAATGGGCGATTTTCCATAGCTATATGTTAGCTTACCAAAGGGTAGATTCCCTGATGTTGGTGTGTTCCAATTTTGGCTGGTATTGATTTGCGCAGCCTTGGATATATTTCTAGAAAACGTTGACTCCTTGAATTACTGTGGATGGAAGACATCCTAAACCAGTTGGCAATGGTTTCTCCCATTATAATGCCATGTTTACAGTGTTTCATAGTTCCCAAATGTTCCCAATAGTTACCAACTGGTGCAGGATGGCTTGTCCATCCATAGTATGAACATCACACCCAAATGGAGGATCAACCAGTTCTTTGGTACCGGATATGCCGTCTTTGGATGTCTTTGGGCTATTCATCATGAGAGATAATCCATCTGGAGTCCGACCGCATAAAAAATTGTGTGTGTCGTCATGTTCCACAGAACCAAACATATCCCAAAATATCCTAAATCTGCGCATTTATCTGATCTTTAGTTTCTATTCATCTTAAAAGTTCCAAAGATATCTCGGATTTTCCCCAGAAAAAAAACAACAAGGATCAACGGAGAATCCATAGTTCTCGGAGGGACATGATCTGCTTGATCTACTTGCATTTTCATGATCACCCTCTGGTAATTTAAGATTGCTATGGAACATTATGGAACATGGTCCACTGACAGATGATATCAGATGATCATATGAGGATTTTACCTACTAAAAAAATTGTGATTTTCCATGGCAAACCGTTGATCTACCGGAAGTGATGATCTGTCCTGGAATTCCGGTGAAACCGATTTCCCAATTGTGTGGTACAACCGATTTCCCGTAAATCATCAACTAGTTTGCCAGAAATGCATAATGTCAGCCATCCCCAACTGGAGTTTCATTTTAAAAAAATCCAACTTACCCCATTATATATATATATACCCTCTGGTAATCTAACAGTTTGCTATTGAACATGGCCCAGTCGAAATAGTTGATTTACCCATTAATCATGGTGTTTTTCCATGTCTATGTGGCTGTTTACCAGAGGGTTTTTCCCCAAATTCCTATCAGCCTATCAACAAAATCTCCTATAAAAATCCCATAAATATCCATCAATTCCAACATAGAACCTCTGGTAATTTGTTACATAGCTATTGAAAATGGTCCATTTTTATTGGGAAAACTCACTATTTCGACTGGGCCATGTGCAATAGCTATGTAACAAATTACCAGGGGGTAGAACCTCTCAATTTGTTGGCATGTTGCCCCGCAACCGTCTCCAGCCACGCCGGGTCCTGGCACGGCTCGATCTTTTTAAGTCGTCACCGGCCGCGGCCGCGGAAAATCACTGGACTTCCTCCACTTTTTGGACGCCTTAGAGCGGGCATAGCTGGGTAAACACCTGGAGGTCCTTAGTATGATGAAATCATGAAATGCAATCTTAAATATACATATATATATATATATATATATTGTGCATAATATATATAGCGTATATTATGTATATATATATACATATATGTATATATATACATGTGTATATATATATATATATCATATGTGTATATATATATACATATGTATATATATATATACATATGTATATTTTTTAGACATGCATTTGTGTTTTTCCCTAATTTGTATATACTGTGTATATATATATACTCTGTATATGTATATCATCGTGTATATTGATCTTTGTATATGCAATAGTACATACTACAAACTACATATTACCCAGTACATGTTGTATATTACATTCTATGACTACATCCTCATAAATGGGTACAACAACAATCATATATATATATAACCTTTATAACTTGATTTATAACCACCATATAGCATCATATAGCAACATCTAACTGGGAATCATATAACACTTTCTCAGGTAAAGCCGCAACGTCGTCCAGACACTTTTCTTGTTGTTTGGTTGGGATTCCAAGAACATCTTTGGCAATAATCTTCAACATACAAGCCCTTAAATACCAAAAAATCGTCATCAACAGGGGCGTCAATCGCAGCCTCCGCTCCCAGATTTCACCATGGAAAACACCAACATACCCTCTGGTTATTCGCTACAGTTCGCCATGGAAAGATCCACCATGCTATTAAGTTCGGTAAACCATCTATTTCAATGGGCCATGGCTTAACCATGGCTATGTTAGTCATAACCAGAGGGTAGTTGGGATTAATGAAGATTCATCCCTCTTGTGATCTGTGGAAATGATGGATTTTTCCATCCAGCCATTGTCGCCACATGTACTGAAAAAAGGCCAGGCAGTATGGTCATCCTATGATCTTCCGTTGGAAAAGGTTTGTTTTCCGCAAGAGAAACTAAACCCTGTGGTGTGAAAACGGTTATGTTTCTGCCTCAAAACAAACTGCTGGCTGTATCCCTACTATATGATGGGAATCCTTGTGGATATACGCAAATCCTCATGATAAAATCGCGATATGCTTGAGGGCCATCCCTCAATATGGATACATTATCCAGCTACCATGACCATGATGATGACATATAATATGGATATAATACATATATATATATAATAATATATAATATAATATAATATAATATAATATAATATATATAATATAATATAATATAATATAATATAATATAATATAATATAATATAATATAATATATAATATATATATATAATATAATATATATATATGTACTGGTTGGTGGTATACCTACCCCTCTGAAGAATATGAGTTCGCAAGTTGGGATTATTATTCCCAACTGAATGGAACAATAAAAAATGTTCCAAACCACCAACCAGTATATATACAGAGAGATAATGCCACATTGATATGGCACGGGCACGGGAGCCTGATGGCACCTAAGCGATATCTCAACCAGAAGGAAGGCCAAATATCTAACTGTCTCATACTCGCTGCAGCTACACTGGTTGATGATTTCAAACCTATTCAAAAAAATATGTTCATCATCTCAACAAATCATCCCTTTTGTATGATTGAATATGTTTATAACTACTCGAACCCACCAATAAGTCATATATGCCATCAAAAAATCCCATGATACTTCCCATTGCCCAAGTAAAAGAGCCTATGGGGCACCATCTTGTAATCTTGTACCCTCTGGTAAACTAACATAATTATGGAAAATCACCATGTTTCATATGTAAATCAACGAACTTTCCATGGCCATTTTCAATAGCAAACTGTTAGTTTACCAGAGGGTTCATATACTATCCATGATTTTCCATAAATTATGATCATCTCCAAATATCTCTAATATGTATATATATATATATCAATATTGGGTACAGGATGGGCCCCCTGCAGTTATAAGTTGGTTTATAAACCATTATAACCTCCTGAACTAGTTCGTTATATCTACCATAAACCATAGTTAATTGAGGCACTTTTTTAAGGCAACCGACTGGGGGCCCCATCCTGTATTGTTGGTTATATATCCTCATCATATTCCCATTGTTCACTATTAATCACTATTAATATAACTCCATCACTATCTGGTTGGTGGTATACCAAAATTCATCTTCCAAAGCACCAACCAGCTATATTGATTATATATGATTGTATTGTTATTCCCATTATTAACCATAGATTAACCATAGATCAACCAGCTATTCAATGGTAAATCTATGGAAAATCTCAACCACAAGCTGCACCATGAACACAGTGAACACAAGCCCCAGTGGCTGCTGCCAGACTCCTCATCCGACGTCACCTCGTCCTTGGCATACTTCGACTTGGCATCGACCTGAAGAAATCGAGCGAAAAACTCGGCTTGTTTAAGTGGCTGCACAACGAAGGGTCTGAATACCTTGATGCTATTGGGTTTACAAAGCTTATATATATAATTATATATATACCGTGTTATATCATCTTATATCATGATATATCTTCTTTTTTCATCTTATATCATGATATATCATCTTATGTCATGATATATCATCTTATATCATGATATATCATCTTATATCATCTTATATCAACTTATATCATCTTATATCATCTTATATCAATATTAAGTCACTATTGGGTATTATAAACCAACATAAACCAACAAACATAACTGGAAAACTCGTGGGTTATAACCTTGGAAACTGCGGTCCCAGTTGGTAGACGTGCCTCAGTCACCTGAGGTCATGAAGTACATGGGGGGTTCCACATCTATGACATTCACCGGGAGGGTAGATCATCTATATACATATATTTATATATATTATGTATATATATATATATTATGTATATATATATATTATGCGTGTATATATATATATTAAATCCAAAATCACTTGGATTTCTCTAAACTTCAGTAGACTTCAACTTTTCAATGCGTTTTTTTCCTGCAAATGACCATTACTTGGCGAAACTTCCATAACTCGCTCAGGAAAATTTTGTAAATACCTCCGTTTTCAGAGGCTCAAAGATATTTTCAGGAGGGTATATCAACTTATAAGACTAGATAAAACTAACATAGCTATGGAAAGTAAAACCATTGACCTCCATTTTGATGTTTTTTGTTGGCCCTCCAGATCTGAAGGCTCCGGATCTGCGCCAAGGTACTTCCAGGTTCCTGGGCCCCGCGAAGAGAACGCGCACGGCTTCCTCCATCTGCCCCTCCCGCGCCAGCGCATCGGCTGCATCCAGGGTGCTTCCATTGTAGTAGGGGATGGCATAGAAGGTCCTTAGAACGATGAAGCTTGTGGACAGACTGAACAGACTGAACAGACTATAAGAAGTCCAAGAAACTCTTGTTGATTGATGTTGATTGGGTACAAAAATAGGGGATTCTGATTCTATCCTATAATATACTATATATGTATATATATATAATGTGAATGATTAAAACATATGTCCTATTTTTCTTCCAAAACTGTTGTTTCCTCCAGTTCCTCCCATTAGACAAATTTCGTAGGATTTTGGGGTCCCTCATCTAGGACCCCCTAATGAGGAACCCCATAAACCATGTTATACCATGAATCAATGATATTTGGTTAAACTACATATAATTCACTTCAGGGAAATATACCATAACAATCCATATCCCTTAACATGTCCCTTGAAAAGGTGCTTGGTAAATATCTCCCATATATCTCCCATATTCTTACTGGCTCAATCCATCATCAGACACAGCCATATTTCTGGCTGAATTTACGTCATTGTTCACTAATCTTAGATACCCTGCAAAAAATGACAAATTCTTTGCTGGTTAGTAGATATTCCCATTAATATCAAAAGACTAAAGGATTAAAGTATCCATGCAAGATTGAGCTAGTCATAGTTCACTAACCTGAAAACAGCTGAACTTGAACCCATTTGATGCCGGGGGAATCACCCCCGAATTCCCCGTTGGGAAAATTCAAGACCATTGACAAACCGCACATCCAGGTAAATGAGTTTCTGGTTGGTGGTTTGAACTCCTCTGAAAAATATTAGTCAGTTGGGATTATTATTCGCAATATATGGAAAAATAAAAAATGTGCCAAACCACCAACCAGGTTTAAAAGCCCAATAGCTAGTTCATGCTAGTTCGTTATATGCCCCATTAACCATAGTTCACCTTTTCTTCACTGTTCACCACCTTCAGCAAATCCAAAGTTAGAAAATGACACAAAGACTTCAAAGACCCAATAAAATAGATGGAATTTCCCAACAATTGCCAACTATCTGGGTAAATTATCATATTTCACTAGCCTGCATAGTTCGGCCATGAATGGGGATGATTTCCCTATATATATTCACCATGATTCCAGGGCTCGGGAGAACAGTGAGGTCGTTATAATTTACCCAGAACTATAAACCTTCATTTTTCCCCCAGTTTTTCTGTACCAAAACGTCTTCCACAAAAATTCAAAACCAGGCGTCAAGAGGATGGCCAAAAAAGATGTGATGACGACGACCCAGAAAATGGTGGCAATCAAACCTGAATCGCGGTCGGCAGGGATGGAAAAGCATGGAAAAGCCACCAAGGTACCAAGATGTTCCGAGGTTTCATAGTTTTCTGGATTCGAAAAAATTGGAGTAATGATGGGTAATGGGATTGAATATGATGGAAAATCGACCACGATAAAGTGGTGACAATGACAGGAATGTGGAAAAATGCTGAAAAAAACTGGGAACATCATATATCTAACATAACTATGGAAAATGATCATCTTTAATGATAAATCAACTATAAATGGGCCATTTTCAATAGGTATTTTGACATAACCAGAGGGTAACATCATGGTATATGAAGGCACTGAACCTCAGGGATATAGTGGGATAGCCACCACCTTTTTTGGTTGACTCAACCAGGTTCAGAGGTGATCCATGGCAAACCGTGAACTCAATTGCCGATTTGGTTTTACCCTCTGGTTATGACTAACAGTTTGCTATTGAAAATGACCATAGAAATAGTGGATTTTCCCATGAAAAATGGTGGATCTTTCCAGTTCGCTATGTTAAATTACCAGAGGGTAAGTTATACTGCTTGGTGGTATACCTACCCTCCGAAAAATATGAGTTCGTCAGTTGGGATTATTATTCCCAATATATGGAAAAAAAGAGTCTGGTTGGTGGTTTTAACCATCTTGAAAAATATGAAAGTCAATGGGAAGGATTATTCCATATATTGTGGAAAATAAAAAAATGTTTGAAACCACCAACCAGGATTTAAGTCATAACTTGGCCCGACTGGAAAAAGAACCTGAAGAAATCTGTTGGAATTTTCTACCCGTTCTTGGGTGAGTCCTCATAGCTTTTTGGTGTAACCATGTCACTTCTGCTGATTCAAAAATAATGGCGTAAAATCAATTGTCTCAAAATCATTTCACAACTTGGTCGAACCCCCATCTTTGTCAGTTCAACCATGGATCGAAGACATTTTTGTTTGAACAATCTGCGAAACTTTGTCGCTCGCATTCCAAGCATATATATATATATATATATTAGTCATGTTTACATCATCCGAAACATGTTACCCTCTAGTTATTTAACATAGCCATGGAAAATGGCCCATAGAAATAGATGGTTTACCTATTAAACCCTCCATTTATTTTGGGGATTTTCCATGGCTACGTATGCTATGTTAGTCATAACCAGAGGGTACCTTCGATGATCAGCACCAATCAGGGATGGCTAAACAACTTCGTTTCGGACCTTTGTGGGCGCGCGCCGACATGCTATTTTTTTTATTCATATCTTCAGCCACGCGTTGTCATCTGACACTTGCCCAATTTTTTTGGGATCGCATCCAACCTGAGACATTCTGGCTTGCCGGTAGAAAGCCATGGCCTGCAACAGTGTTTCTAATCCGGGACTATCCAATTTCTTTTGCATTGCCAAAGGAATTATGTGTGACTGGGATGGCAGCATGCGACCTACTTTGTTGACACGTCTCAAAGATCGCTTGACACGTGAAAATTCTGCTTCACTGTAATTATCTCCTCCCACGATTTTGGCAACAGTTTTCTTTGGGCTCATCACGCAAGCTGGCTTCTTCATGGATGCACTCCGAGTTAACATTTTTTGTTGTTTTTTTGACAACTTGCTCATGCGAAAAGACATAGTCGGTGAGAGTTCGTCCTCAGTGAAGCTAACACATATCCTACATGGTCGAAGTGGTACATTTCAATCTTCTGGGTTTATATATTTTTTGTGGTAAAGCATAATCAAATTCATGAAGAGAAATTCTTATACCGTAACCTCACGCGTGTGTGCAAGTGCAAGAGAAGATCTTACAACATAACATCACGCGTGTGTGCAAGTGCAAGAGAAGATCTTACAACGTAACATCACGCGTGTGTGAGTTTGCCCCCCCCCCCCCCCCCTGTTCCCCACCCCAAAAATAATAACATGTCATGCGGGCACAACTTCTAACTGACGGGCACAACTTCTAACTGACGGGCACAACTTCTAACTGACGGGCACAACTTCTAACTGACGGGCACAACTTCTAACTGACGGCACGTACCATCACGAAACACTGCCTACAGTGAGCGAAATGAACATAAACGCGCCCTGACAGGCAGTTTTGCGCTCTCCCCCGTGCGCGCCGACAGCGGTCCGGAAGGAACAACTTGGCTTTGCTGCAGTGAAATCGACCAATCTGATTCTGCTGGTGGAATTTTTAAATCACAAAAAAACACTCCCAGTATTGGTTGAACATTACGCATCATCCCTAGATACCCTGCAATAAAAAACATAGCTACGCTAGGAGGAAACTCCTAAGTCATGCGGCTACAAAATGGATGGTTTTTTTGTTGGAAAATCCCAATCTAATAGCTGGATGATGAACAGGGGTACCACCATGACTTAGGAAACCAAACATCGAAGATCACCACATTCGTGGGAACGGCACGCCGCTGCGGTGCGCGTTTTGGAAGAACCCCCATTGAATCGATGGGATGATTTTTTCCTAATCTTCCGGAGTTGCCTGAGGCGATTTTGTTTTTTCTTTTTCCGGTGGCGGAAAATCCACCATTTAGGGAATCTATAGCAAATCCAAGTGATTTTTGATGGGATAATATGGGATAATATTGGACATATACTGATGTTCTTATTGTTTCAAATTCACAAAATAACTGGGCCGATTCGTGTTTCAACCGTACCCAAACATCTCATTGATTACCTATGGTTTCTAAGCATTTGTTCATACCTATAGATGTTTCATGCCATTCACAATGGTGTCTCTGCTCAACTATACCCAAACAGCCTCAAACAGCCATTGTTTATGGTGATAAACGTTTACAGTTTGCTATATTTTGCTATTGAAAATGGCACTGCTTCATATGTTTACCCATTAAAAATGCTGCAAAATTTCCATGGTTTTTTGTATGTAAAAACCAGCCAATATATATGGTGATCATCTGCTGCGATCATCCCCAATGGATCCACAGTAAATTACCCAACTGCGAAAACTGTACCCAGACACCCAAACATCTAGCACAATATTTGCGATATATATAATGATATATTAAGCATCTTTAATTTAGTTTCAAGATTTCCCAAACCATTGGGCCTTTTTGGTCGCGCCCAGACACCCAAGTTCTTCAGCTCCGAAAATGCATAGGATCCGATGGTCGCGCCCAGTTTGCCAAAGGCCGCGCTGATGCCGGCGCCCGTGCCTGGCGGAACCGAGCTTTCGGCACCGACCGGGTGGATTTTGGAAGAAAACAGGGCTGGGCCGTTCATTGTTGAAAGCCGCGAACTAACATGGTGATAATACATATATATATATATGGGTAAATTACAATATTTCACTAACCTGAATAGTTCGGCCATTTGGGGATGATTTCCCTTATTAACTATGATTTCCAGTGAGGTCGCAGTGAGATTTACCCATATATATATATATATGAATGGAATATGAGTGGAATAATGAATGGAATATGAATCGAAGATGAATGGTATTTCTGAATGGACTATTACTGGAATATCAAATGGGAAATCATGGGATTTCCATGGGAAATCCAGTAGCTGCTTGGTGCTTTGAGCCACCAACCCCTCTGAAAAATGATGGAGTGATTTCGTCAGTTGGGATTATGACATTCCCAATATGATGGGGAAAAAAAAAATATTCCAAACCACCAATCAGGGTATGATATAAATGCTGGGTGTTCAATTGCCATGTTTGATTACTGGGTCATGTCACCAGCTGTTTAGCGGGTAGCGAAAATTCGAAATGACCCTTGGAGCAGCAAATGTTTAGCAAAATGGGAACCCCGCACCCAGGATCTTTTCGAAATCAGCAGTTCACAACAGTTCACATGAATTGAGAGCGGTATATACCCTCTGGTGAACTAACATAGCAATGGAAAATGGCCATTTTTAATGGGAAAATCCACTATAAATGGCCATTTTCAATTGCTATGTTAGTTCACCAGAGGGTATAGTTTATGCTGGCATTCCCCTCAACTCTTACTTTCAAAAAGGGTTCATGTTGAAACCTTGCATCATTGTACATTGCAGCCCCCTTGAAATCCTTGAACCATCCAGAATCCATCGGTGTATGGAGTTTTTTTTATCTCGTTTCCCTATCAAATACCCCTCAATATGGGCCCGCAAAAACGAATTGGGCCAATTACACGAAACTTTACAAAAAAAAAAAAACATGTTTCTGATCGGCATTTGGGGGGATGGGTATATCCCAATCACCCAGAGTATACCCTCTGGTAAACGTTTACAGTTTGCTATTGAAAATGGCCATTTATAGTTGATTTACCCATTAAAAATTGTTGTTTTCCCTAGTTTTTTGTATGTTGACCAGAGGGTACCCATCATATGATCTAAGAATTGTTCTTAAATACGACATATTCAGTGTCTTAATTCTCACAAGATGGTGCTCCCGTGAATCTTAGACGGGTTTCCGACACCAACATAGCTAGGAGTTTCAGATTACTTATCCCATGATATTACTATAATTATATTCCATATCTTAACATTGGTTTATTGTTGGTTGCGTATGCAATTTCTTATTATATACATATCATTACATATCACTATACATATATATATGGGTGTATATATATATATATAATGATTATTATATATATATACATCAATGATACCCATTACGGACGTAATCTTTGTTTTATGGCAATTCTAACTTTGGGGGCCACCACATCTGTCGTTGCCTCGTACCATGCTGGGGAAGATCTCAGCGCTGATGGCCATGGTGGTGACACCTGCCATATTTCTGCGGTTGAGAAGTGGTAAAAACCTATGTAAAGCTGATAATTCACATAATTTAAGTTGGTTAAACCACCAGGTTCATGCCATAAATCCAGATAAATCCCCAATCTTGTTGTTAAAAACCCAATTTCTCATGTGTTGATGATATAACCCTCGTATTTTCCCGTTTTTGCTGGTTTCACCCATTGAAAAAAATCAGCAGTTTGAACGAACCCTTCCATCGTCCCGTGAAATATACTGGTTCTTTAAGAACATATTTCCCAGAATGGATAATGATATATAATCCATTTTTTGAATCTATCAACTATCTCCTATCAACATCATCTTTAATATATATTTACTGGTTGGTGGTATGCCTACCCCTCTGAAAAATATGAGGTCGTCAGTTGGGATCATTCTTCCCAACTGAATGGAAAAATAAACTCATGTTCCAAACCACCAACCAGGATAATGATAATCCATTTTTTTGGGGGGTAGTGTCACTCACCCCCTATATCATCAACCCGGGGATCGCTCATGGTGACAGCAATGCGCCTCTTGTGATACCTACTAAAATCAAGGTGCAAAAATTGACGTGAATTACCAAATTTGATACAACTGGATGGTCAAAACCAAAAAATTGGTGATTTGATCTACCATCTGGTTAAAAATAGCTATGGAAAATCCATGAACATCCCCAAAATAAATGGAGGCTTCGTTCGCTGGGAAACTCATCTGTTTCTATGGGCCATCTATTCCATAGCCAACTGTCAAATAACCGGAGGGTAAAGTACCATTAGTCACCATTCATCATGGATTGATCACCATTAAATCACCATTTTCCTATGGTTTTCCCATGGTTTTCCATAGCCAACTATTACCCTCTGGTAATTTAACATAGCTATTGAAAATTGCCATTTATAGTGAGTTTTCCCATTAAACATGGTGATTTTCCATAGTTATGTTAGTTTAGCAGAGGGTAAATCACCGGAGGGTACCCATTTTGGGGATCCAAAGTCGTCGGATCACCTGGCAAACTCTGGAATGACCTGAGCCATAAACTTCGACGAGACCATTGCAATGCTAAAGCCGTCATGAAAATGCTGATGCACACCATACCAAACTGTTACCAATTATACCAGTGATCCCCACATTGACTTCTATGTTCAACATTGTACTGATTTCAAGTCACAAATTCTGTGTCCCAAAAAATCAACACGTACAACGTTACACATATGTTTTCTCGCCGGGAACAAAGCATGTAGTGCAGGATGTGTCGGTCAAAACACTTCTATTAACCGAACCGGGTGACTGATTTTGGATCACCGCAGCGCACATAGAATTTGCTGAAGGTGCCCCAGAAATTTGTGATCAGTGCGGCAAATTGTGTATCCCGCCTCCCAAATCATTGCCCAAGCGAATTCTGCCCACTCTGATGCGATTGGATCTGATTGGATGTCACCCAAATTAGGTACCTCTGGACCAAAATTGCTACAAACCTAGGGATGAGTCCTTAAATTGTTCAAGACCTAGGGGACCACAGGTCATTTCTAGTCGATTTTTGTTTCACCATCCAACTATTGGGGTTACCCAATGACTTCACCCCAGCAGACGCCCCGGCAGAAGCTTCGCATAGCAAGGTCGACAAGCGGCAGCTGCACAATGTAGAGCCCAATGAACAAGATGGAAATCTCCTGGCAGATTTAAGAGTCCTTGAGGCCTAACCCAATTTTCACCGTCCTCAATTTTACCGGAAATGGTGTGGGTATTAAGCATCGATATAGAATTGGGTGTTTAAAATACTTGAAGAACCTTAAATCTTTTTGAGATTTGTCATAGCATAAGAATGTCAGTGGTGAGTAAATGCCTCATTTCGAATGATTTCGACACGCCAGTTCAACAATGTGTATTGGAGATATTTCATACTCTGGTTGGGTGACCCGCTTAGGCTTAAAACAAAACAAATCTCAGTACGCCTGAGGTACTTCACCGCGCGGCTTCCTAACTCGATGATGATCTTTCTTGTCTGACTGCTGCCCTATTCACCAGGAATATGATATAATTACATCGGAAAATGGTCCTATGCGATTCTAAATGAGGAAAAAGGTACAAAAGCTACGTTGTTACAATTGATTTTGTTGGAACATCCTCAACTGATCCATATAACATCCTATAACTACATGATCTTTATGGTTGATCTCCCCAGGTCGGCACCGATCTCGCCTTCAGGGGTCCATAGCCCAAGGCCAAGCCGAGGTTGCACAAGGCACAGCCCAGAAAGCCCACGACCTGCACCTTCCGGCTGGAGATCTTCGTCAGCAACCACGGTGCCACGATCAACGAGGGAATCACCAGCATCCGAGTGCCTTAAGAAACGGCGGCCAGGATGGCTTCGCTAAAAAACACATCACCGTTGTTTCCAGCAGTTCAAAGGGGTTCAGAACAACAGAAACACAATGGAAAACCGTGGTCAAACATGCCAAACTCAGGTTGGAGGCCAAACTCAAAGGGTTTCTGTCTTTCTGTTTGGTTGAAGTCATTTTGGAAGCTTCTACCAATCACCAGTCCAACGATATCGGAGTGATGTCTTGGAAAAATTCATAGGACCGTGAGGTGTAAAGGCGCCCAAGAAAGCCCCTCACATCAGACCTCTGGTCTTGGTGATTCAATATCAAAAAAAATGGTGATTCAACCACCCAAAATGCTGCAAAAAATGGGATTCTATTGTGATTTAACAACCAACAAATGTTGATTTCATGGGTGTTCTTAGTTCTTACAGCCAAAAAATTGGATTTCATGTATTTCAAGAGAAAATCATGAAACCAAACGGGTGTGTCAACAAATCTGCGAGATTTTACTGCTCTAACAGCCATTTCATGGGAACATTTTAGGTCTCAGATTCCCCAGTCGTTGTGGATTTCTGGGAAAATGCCAAAAACCATCAACGCAGCAAAGCAAGCTGCGGTAGTGATCATTGGAGTTTTAGGGAATATCTCCAGGAACGCCCTGAAAATGTCATTGTAAAAACCATGGTTTCGTGTAGATTTTCCCAGCAACCAATCCATTGATCCATGGTTTCCACCAAATTATTCAGATATAAAAACCATCTTCCAGCCACGCCCAACCAAGCGGCAAAAGACTGCTAACACGCTCTGGCTATAGTCCCCATCATGATCTCAGTTTCAAAACATGGGGGGTTATCATGCTGGGATGATGGAGAAATTTGGAAATACCCTCTGGTCATGTGACAGTTCGCCATGGAAAATGGCCCATTGAAATAGATGGTTTACCGAACTTAAAAATGGTGGATCCTTCCATGGCAAACTGTTAGTCATAACCAGATGGTAGGTTTTTCGCTGTTTTTCAAGGGCCCTCCGAGTGGGTTTCATCTTGGTGTCAGGATGCTTCGACCAACCCATCCATATGCCTAACGCCGGGATGCTCTCGGTTCCATATGCCTTGACCCTTTTTTGGGTTGTCTCAAACTATGGCACCCCAAAATCAATGGTTTTTTGTATGTTTACCAGAGGGTAAACCTCCACTAAATCAATGGTTTGTAGAAATTGTGATTTTCCCAATGAACCTGGTCACAAACTAAAGGAAAATCAAACATTTGAGAGCGATTTCAAAATGTTAAGGCAACCCATATGCACCAATATCGGCAACATCAAGAAAGTACGCGAATGACTATTCATGTTTCACATATAGATATTATATATATATACAGGCATATGCATATATACATGTATACATGTATACACATACATACATACATGCATGCATGCATGCATGCATGCATACATACTGATTTATACATATTATATATACTTACATACATACATACATACATACATCCATCCATCCATCCATCCATCCATCCATCCATCCATCCATCCATCCATACATACATACATACATTACATACATTACATACATTACATACATACATACATGCATGCATGCATACATACATACATTCATACATACATACATACATACATACATACATTACATACATACATTACATACATACATAATACATGCATGCATGCATGCGTGCATGCATGCATACATACTTATTTTTACATATTATATATGTATATATACATACATATATATATATAAATACATACATACATTACATACATACATAGACAGGACATACATACAGATACATACATACAGACAACATACAGAAAGACATACACATACATATACATACAGACATACAGACATACATTACATACAGACATACATACATACATACATTACATACATATTACATTACATTACATTACATTACATTACATTACATACATACATACATATATATATATATTATATGTATGTATATATATATATTATATGCATATATGTATATGTAAATGTATATGTATTTGTAAAAGTATTTGTATATATATATATGTAGATATATGAACATATGCATATATATATATACATACATATGTTTATATGTGTATGCCTTTGTAAATGTATTAATATATATATATGTATGTATGTATATATGTATATATATATGTATGTATGTATGTATGTATGTATGTATGTATGTATGTATGTATGTATGTATGTATGTATGTATGTATGTATGTATATATGTATGTATATATATATATATGTATAAATAAGTATGTATGTATGTATGCATGCATGCATGTATGTACGTATGTATGTACTTATATATGATGTATGCAGATGTGTATATATGTATGTATATATATATATACATATACGTATATGTAGCATGTATATCTAACATATATATATATATACACAACAATGTGTATATATAACTAAATAAATATAAATGTGTTATATCTAATATGTGATGGTAAAATCTTGCCATGATCTCATGATCCCGCCTGACTCAGCCAAGTTTTCACCAAGTTTCTGGCATCGAAAATGGCTGCATCATTTTGCTTCAGGCCGTACTCCACGACGTCGTAGAGGAACCAGGCCCCAGCAGTGCCGAACAAAGGCCTGAAGGGCTGAGTTGATTTGGAGCCATGCTGACTTGGGGATCCCGAATTGTGGGAAATCACCATTTGTAGCTACCTTGATTATAGGCTTCATTTTTTCGAGGCGGTTGTAAACAGAAGGTGCAGGTATTCATGTCAAAACACATGTGCAACAAGCCAGCCTGGTTACAACACAACACTTTCTGTGCTGATTCTGTGCTGATCACCATCAAGAAATATGAATAAACTAGCCCTCCTATTAATACACATTCGTATATAATTGAGGTTTACATGTTAACCTAAGATTAGGGTTTACATGTATAAATTACTAACCCAAGATTGGGCTTTACTATGAAGGTTTACTATTGTTATATAATTACTATATATTTAATTGGGATTCGCAATTATTGACATCTTAATTACCTAATTTGAACCTCTTAAGATCTTTTTTCACTGGGCTTTATTACCATTAAGATACTACCTATGAAGATTTTCAAACGCACTTAAATCACGATTAAGACTAGGAATCATGAATCACTATTAAGATCTTCTGAACTTGTTTGCATAGTAGGGTTTATTACCAGCCATTCAGGTATGCATTAAACACCCATTAAGATGTTCATTAACTAAGTGAATAAAATCAGCCATCATTACCCATTATGAAGCTATTCATCATCATTTTCATGGCTAATCTTGAAATTCATCATCAATTAATCACATTAGCCTCTGGTAAATTAACATGGACGCTGAGAATCACCAATTTTTAATGGAACCTAATCTTCAAACCCCTATCTGGCAAGGTCTATGTTAATTTACTTGGAGGGTAATACCTTCATTATAAATCATATAGAGTAATAGTCCATTAAAACCCATTAAAATTCATTAAAATCACTGGAAGGTAGCTATTCCCATCATGACCGTAATGAAGATCCTTCATCCTCTAAGCTCGGCTCGGCTCCGTTCGCCTCCAGTAGGGTCGCAGCAAGCTTCGCGTGGACTGATTGCTCGCCTTCGAATCTTCACGACTCGCCTTAAACCTCGAGCGGCTCGGCGTGGCGGACGCCTGGGGGTCAGAACACCTCTTTTGCAGGTGTGATACTATATGTATGATATATATATATATATATATCATATAATTTGATAAATAATTATATATAATTATGTACATTTAAATTTATATATATATATGTGTGTGTATAATATATTTATATATAATTGGATTTTTTAAATATATTTATAAAATATAATATAATATATGTATTAAGTAACCCCCAACAAAATAGAAAAATAAATCAGCTTTATTTTAGTTAGAATGCATTTGTTTAAATATGTTTTCGGGGATGACTGCATACAAAACCACCCGAAATCTCATAACCTTCTGGGCAGCTTTGTGCCAGGTCGTGCTGCGCCCCAGTGATGTTTTTCCGTTTATAACAAGCCTCCTGGAAACTAGTTCGATAATACGATATAATATATAAGTATAGATATATCATACAATAAATATTACTATATAAGTATAGGATAGTATAGGTATATAAGTATATAATACAATATAATAATATAATATATCTAGCATAAATCCAACATGATCTACCATAAACTGCTTACCAAGTGAACTGTTTGGATCTTGTGAGCGGTTTACCAACTTAGATAAGTATGGGCCATCACCTTGAATCGAGAACTTGTTGTTTGGACATGTTTGGACTGTCAAGTCACAAGAAACACTGTGCGCGGATGGGGTAATGACTTGCTCATGTTCAGAAGGGGCACGCTTACTTACATTTAATTGCAAAAAAAAACACATGGGGAAACTGCTTTGGTAAACAACCTTGGTGCAAAATCTGCCAGAAAATATTCCCGAAATGTGCCAAATAATGTAAATCTCATCTGCAACATCCCAGAAAACCAGGATTGCTCCACTCAAATCTTTCCAACCCTCGGGGGAATCACGAAAATCATGGGTTGCAGCAAGCCTGACAATCCTATATGGATGTTTCCTAAAATGGGGGTACCCCAAATAGCTGGATGGTTTAATGTGGTATCCTGATTGGTGTGGTGGGTCGCTTTTGTGGATTTTTTTTGAAATTATCCGGCCTTGGCTCCTCCCACCCCGAATCCCTCTGCACGAGGTGCTTTTGACTATCCTTGGTCGCCACAATGCGAAGCCCCAAACCCAGCAGCGACAGCACGGAGCCTGACGTGGGGCCACATGAGAAGCATTTAACATGGGGATAGAATGGGATAAAATGAGAGATGATAATGGTATATAATGGGTAATATAATAGTAGGATATAACAGGAAATCAAAGGATATAATGGAATATAATGTGATAAGATGGTATGTATATATGTAATAATTAATATATATATATATTCCTGAAATGGGGATACCCCTAAATCATCCAATTTAATAGTTTTTTCAATTATAAACCAACCAGCTATTTGGGTACACCAATGTATGGAAATCCCCCTATAATGGGATATGAAGGAATATAATGGGATATGATGGGATAGATACATATATGGGTGTTTCCTAAGATGGGGGATCCCCAAGTCACCATGGGTTTCAATATTAAATCATGGTCATCCATGACTTGGGTGATTTTTCGGTGCCATCATTTTAATAACCCCCCCAGATCACGTCTTTCCATGGGAATGCGTAAACATGCGATAGATTTTCATTGGATTCGGATGTTCCATTATAAATCAACCAGCTATTGGGGTACCCCCATGCATGGAAACCTCCATCATGTCGATTCTCCCAGCTATGTGTGTTGGTTTACTCCAATTAAATATGGATGTATCTATATACTAGTATCAAAAATCCATGAGTAATTTAGTCATAAACCAATTAACATCATAAAAACTATTAGTGTATGATACTGGTAGATATCATAAACCCATTGATGGTAGTTAAAAACCAACAAACAGAACTGGGAGCAGATCTCTGTAAGTATAAACCAACATATCCTCTATGAATAGGGACTCCCATAAATGGTTTATAACTCCCAATTCGGGTATCCCCATTTATGTATTTTATGTATCATAAACATTCATAAACTGGTTGGTGGTTTTAACAATCTTGAAAAATATTAGTCAATGGGAAGGATTATCCCATATATATATATATGGAAAGTGAATAAAAATTCATGTTCCAACCCACCAACCAGTTATGTATTTTATGCATCATAAACCTCTGGTAAACTAACATAACTATGGAAAATCACAATTTTCAATGGGTAAATCCACTATAAATGGTCCTTTTCAATAGCTATGTTACAGTACCAGAGAACATTCATAAACCCATTCATAGGGCCCCAAAAAGGTCAGCAGGACGTCTCCCTCCCGGCGCCTACGGCGAAGATGCCACGCCAGAGCATCTCATCGGGCACACCCGCGACGTCCATGATGTAGGTCACCAAGGGGCACAAGGCCTGCCGTACTGAACAAACAAGGGGGAGTTAACCAACAAAAATGGTGATTGAATGGGACTTGACCAGCAAAATTATTTTTTTAATTGGATTTAAGAGGCAAAAATTGTTATTTCATGGGATTTGAACAACAAACTTGGTGATTGAATGGGATTTAACATGGCAATATAATGGAATATTCGTGGGATACTAATGGCATATGAATGGATTGGTTGATACCTTTCGGTGGCATCAAACATGGCTGGCTGGAAAATCACACTATCAATAGGAGCCTTCAATGGTGAAACTCAGTAGAATTCTGGGAAATACCCTCTGGTAAACTAACAGTTTGCTATGGAAAATGGCCAGAAATAGATGGTTTACCTCTTTAAAATGGTGGATCTTTCCAGTTCGCTATGTAACAGTCATTACCAGAGGCTAATCATCTGCTGCAATGTCACAGTTTGCTTTGGAAAATGCTGTCATCCACGGCCCATTGAGTTCGAACTGTTGGTTTACCAAAGGGCAGTTGAACATGATCATCCCACTGACCTATGGTTGAAACAATAAGGTTTATGTGCAAACATGAATCAAATGAAATCAGTACCCATATGCTCCATGTTGCTGGTATATTTACCTATATGACTGGGCCATTTATAGGGTAAATGTTCGTAAGTATTCCAGCACCATGGAGCATATGGGGTGTAGAATCACTAAACAAGAGAAACCAACGAACCCGAATGCAGTCACGTAAAACATGTTTGTGAATCAAGTTATTTCAACCGTCTTGTACATGTGCCCTGTTACCCTGCCAGTGTAGACTGTGGAGTGTGGAATGGGGAATGTAATGCGTAGGGATGTGTAGGGTATGACCTTGGGATTGTGGAGTGTGGAGTGTAAAGTGTGGAATGTGGAGTGTACAGTGTAAAGTTCACAGTCTAAAGTGTAGAGTGTAGTGTGTGGAGTGTAGAGTGTGGAGTGCCAAGTGTCAAGTGTGGAGTGTGAAGTGTAGAGTATGGAGTGTAGAGTTTGGAATGTGGAGTGCAGAGTGTGGAGCGTACAGTGTAGAGTATGGAGTGTAAAGTGTGGAGTGTAGAGTGTGGAGTGTCAAGTTTCAAGTGTGAAGTGTAAAGTGTAGAGTGTAAAAGTAAAGTGTAAAGTGCAAAGTCTAAAGTGTAGAGTGTGAAAGTGTAGAGAGAAGCAGAAAAACAGAGAAACAAAAAAAACTGGAAGCCAAAATTGCTTTACTTCGAGTTATCCCCACCATGACATTTATACCTTCTGGCATTCTATCTGGCATATCTTCTGGCATATCTTCTGGCATATGTTCTGGCATATCTTCTGGCATTCTATCTGGCAAATCTTCTGGCATTCTATCTGGCATATCTTCTGGCATTCTATCTGACATATCTTCTGGCATTCTATCTGGCATATCTTTTGGCATTCTATCTGGCATATCTTCTGACATTCTATCTGGCATTCTATCTGGCACATTCTATCTGGCACATTCTATCTGGCATATCTTCTGGCGTTCTATCTGGCAAAAATTCTGTCACTTTATCTGGCATACCTTCTGGCATTGTCTATCTGACATTTTATCTGGCATTCTATCTGGCATACCTTCTGGCATTCTATCTGACATATCTTCTGGCATTCTATATGGCATATCTTTTGGCATTCTATCTGGCATATCTTCTGACATTCTATCTGGCATATCTTCTGGCATTCTATCTGGCCGTTGAGGTCCAGCAGTGCACACTGAGCTGGGAAGGTCCCAGGTTGAGGTCCAGCGGTGCACACTGAGCTCTGAAGGTCCCCGGTTGAGGTCCAGCCGTGCACACTGAGCTCGGAAGGTCCCAGGTTGAGGTCCAGCAGTGCACACTGAGCTCAGAAGGTCCCAGGTTGAGGCCCAGCGGTGCACACTGAGCTGGGAAGTTGGCAAAGAGCTTGGCCAAGAGTTGGCAAGGCGGAAGTTGAGGCGGAAGTTGATGCAGACATGGTCGAGGAGAAACAGGCGGAGGAGAAGGAGGAGGAGGACGAGGAGGAGGAAGAGGAGGAGGAGGATAGCTAGCCGAGGAGGAGGAGGAGGAGGAGGAAGAGGAGAAGAACAATTCTGATAAAATCTAACAACCCTCACCTGGCAGGTGGGGAAAAACAGGAGCGCAATAAAAAGAGAGAAGCAAAAGAGCAGAAAAGCAAAAAAGCAGAGGCAAAAACAGCAGAGAAGCGTAGAAGCAAACAAAAGCAGAAAAGCAGAGAAGCAAAAAAAACAGAGAAGCAGAAAAACAGCACAGTAGAGAGGAGAGGGGAATCAAAAAAAAACGTAAATTACAAAATAAGCCCTAAATAAATGGGTCCCCTTAAACAATTGGGAAAACTTACCATTTGTATAGATCGCTTTCGGAAAACCATGGGTTCCACATCTATGTTAGTTTACCCTAGGAAAATCTTCCTGTAACTGGGATGATGTCCCGCGGCACCTGCCCACCACCGGAGCCGAAAAGGTACAGCAGCGCCACGTTTTTCGCGCCATCGTTGGTGCTCTCGGAACTTTCGGCGCTGTGGGAGGAGGCTAAAGGGTACCTTGGAGACGATCCGAGACTGGTCAATAGCAACCTTTTGATGCGATAAAACATGGCAAAAGAAACTGCAAAACCATGGTGATTCAATGGGATTTAATCAACCAAAATTGTGATTCAGTGGGATTTAACAAGATATGGGATTTAAGTTTTTTTAATTAACCATTAACCATTAATTTTGATTTCATGGGATTTAACCAATGTAAATGGTGTTTTAACAAGACTTAACTAGCAAAGCCATGGTGATTTCATATGTTGATTTCATGGGATTCACAGAAACCACTAGAAATGATGATTTAATGGGGATGAAAAACCCTCCAATAGACTAAAATAGCTATGGAAAAGGGCCCGTTGATGCTTTGCTATTCAAAATTGTGATTTTCTAACTGTTAAATAACCAGAGGGTATGAATTTTGGGCATCCTACCAACCCCCTTTCGCATGGTATTTGAACGCCAACCAAAAAATGCTGAGCATTTTTATGCTGTTCCGTAGGGATGAACTCAGCTTTGTCCCAAAAAACAGCAAAAGTTCCAGGATTCCAGGGGCATCCGTGAGGCATTGTGACCCAGAGATCAAAACTCAGACCCAGCACTCATGGGCTGCTGTGTGCCAGGAATTGGTAGGTCTGCCCCTAGTTTTTGATCCAACAAATTTTTAAATACGAGCATGTGTCATCATTATCTATATATATATACATAATGTGCATTTATATATATATATTATACTATATATCAATGCCAATTGAAGATCTCAGGAATAGCATGTATATATATATATATATATATATATGTGTGTGTGTGTGTCCAGGTTATGCCGTTTTTTAAAAACCTTATCTTAGACCCACAAGATGTTCGGCTTCCCCCCGAAGTCATATCAAGGTTCTCACCGCCCATGCCGATACCGGTGATGATGCGGGCAACGATCAAGGCATTCTCGCACCACGCAAACATACCTGGGATATCCTGGGACCTATGAAAATGGCCCTTTAATAAATATATATTATATATATTTATATAATTTTATATATGGAATTACGAGGTAGAAGTACTGAAATATGCCCATGTATGGATATCTGTGGAATGTATACTTTGTGTAACCACATATTTATTGGCCATAACTGTGGGTTTGAAAATGGGGTTCCTCCCATGTCTCTATCACTGACGATCCAATGGGAAACAACTTCACTACCCGATGAAACAACTTGGTAAGCCAGCAAGATGATTCCCATCATTTTTCCGATAGCGTTTTCCCAGTTCAATAGCAACTTTGGAGTCAACCACCCATTTTTTCATATTTGTTTCCACCCTGCTAGGCACCCAATCGGCGACTCCGGGGCAGCGATCCAGATTACATCAAAGCCCGTCAAAACTTTGAAATTCACCGCTCGCAACGGTCCGTTCCGAAAGAATATAGCACAAATATTCATAATGTATATTACAATACCTAGCTGACTTGTAATGATTCAACAACCTCAAGTAAGGTCATCTGAGGAAATTCCCCTGACAGATCCTGATTGATGGTGACGCTATGGTGACATCTGAAATTCGCACAGAGCTGTGTATGTACCTGTTGCGTTGTATGGCAGGGAATTGCATTGCACTGTTTACGTTTGTATGTCAGGCAATGCAATACAATGCAATGCAATGCACATATCGATGTATGCATGTATGCATGTATGCATGTTTGTGTGTGCGGGGATGTCTTTCTACAAATGTAAATGTATGTAAATGTACGTATATTTGCATATGTACAGATTGATATGTATATTTTTATATGATTGTATATGTGTATTTGTGTGCGTATCTGTATATGTATGTGCCTGTATGCATTTGCATGCATGCATGTATATATATATATATACACAGTGCAAGCGCTGTATAAGAATTCCTTGTATAAGAAAATGAGGGGCTGGATTTGTTTTCCGCATATATGTTTTGTGGAATACATAGCAAATGGAAGTTAAGAAATTGAGGGACCCTGGAATTTTAAGGGCTAAGAAATTTAGATGTATGTGAAGGAGCCCCTTTGCGCCCCTGCTCAATTTTCAACTGTCCAGCTCGAGTGCATCGAGAGGCAACTTCACAAGCCCTTGGCCACAAAGCACCATGGCATCTGCGTCCACTGATTGCAAAAAGCCGCTGTACTGCAAATCAGTAAACGCAAGAGGCAAATTCATGTTGGTTCGAACTTTCTTGACCGCCCAAGGATGCGCGGCTTCCAATTCAGGAAAAAGAGGCTTTGCCTTCTTTCCTTTAGCTTTTGCCTTATTAGTTTTGGCATTGGCTTTAGGAGCTGCTTTTGCAGACAATTTGGCTGCAGGAGCTGCTTCTGCAGCCGATATGGCACAGCTTTGGACACAGCACTGGAAACACTTGAAGAAGAAGAGGAATTGGAGTCGGAATCGCTCGAGTCCTCACTCGAGTCTGACCCCTGGTCATCCACGGCAGACATTTTGGGTAAATTCCGCATTCCGGTGTGCAGGGCACTGGCCGTCTCTTTCCAATGTGGACCTAGTTTTGTCCCAACTGGGTAAGGTTTGTATGGCTGCTCTAAGCCTTGCACCACCATGGCACTGTCTGCTCTTGTGTCTTGCCCTCCTTTTGCCTTTCATTTCAATTTGCAATCTGTCACCGGCAAAATGCCGCATGAAACTATCAAATTGTCAACTTTGCATGTCTGACATGTCTTTTCTCTGAAGCCAAATATGCTGGGAAGCTCGGATGTGTCATATTGAATACTACATTAAGAAATTGCTAAGAAATTAAGGGTCCCTCGACCGAATAATTGTACATACATATATAATTATATATATATATAGAGTGTGTATATATATATATATATACTGACATACATGGGGCCTTTCCGATAAGAAATTGAGGGACCCTGGCCATCGGCAACCAACATTCTTATATAACGCTCGCGCTGTATATCATTATATATCTCTGTGTGTGTGCATGATCTGCAGTCAAAACACTCAGAAGAGCACCGCAAAGCGTGATGAGGGAACACAGAATCAATCCAGCACGTCTTCCGATGATGTCAGACAAAGGGCCTCATGCAGGGGTTCTAGTTCTCTAGTTTGACTCAGACCCACATAAGGCAGATAAAAAATCCATAAGATTCCAGAAGCTGTTTTTAACATTTTTTCGATGATTTCTCCAGTACTTCTTCATCCGTCCCGGGTCGAAGTGCCAAAAAATGGTCCGCTCACAGTTTCCCCATCCTATGATGTGTTGGTGAACTTGGCTATAAAACATAAATCGAAAATCGAACGAAACCGAAAAGTTAATTCCATACATTATATGCATATATATATATTGCAAGACATTGTAATACTATTTCTATACAAAATTAGGGTCAACAAGTGCTAAATCCAGGCCCGGCTTTACGCGTACACCCGCTGGCCAATCGACAATGCTCACAACAGTAGGATCTGTGAATTGCCAGAAGTAGAAAAATGCGTAACACAAAACGGTAGCTGGTTGGTGGTATACCTACCCCTCTGAAAAATGTGAGTTCGTCAGTTGGGATGATGACATTCCCAAGATATGGAAAAAAATACAACATGTTCCAAACCACCAACCAGGTAAGTAGGATACTTGTTACTTGATAGCAATTGGTCACCATCCACCCAATTAACATCGACCCTCAACTTGAGTTGCGGGTTGGAAGACTACCTTCCAACCTGCAAATAGAAAAACATCAGGGCAGTTCCACTTCAGGATACATAAGTATATAACTAGTTCTATTTTCCCCACATCCCAACTTATAAGGGGCCCCTTGTCATCCCATGGTCTCTTTTTAGCGCCATGGTGAACATCAATCACCCCTTTCATCCATGGTTTTCCCTCCCTTTCAACAGCCAACCGCCAAAGAACCCATGACGATCATGCCCAAAATCGCTCCGCCATACATGGCCGCTTTCACGAAATCCTTCTGAGCGTCCGTGGCGTGGAAGTCATGGGCATAGTGTTCCACAAAGTTCGTGGCGCCCAGCATGTACTTGTCCTGGCGCGGCGGTTGAACATACATTTGGCTGGGGCACCAACATGATAGTTTATGGTGAACAGTGAAAACAAGTATTTCACTAGCGTTTATGGTAGATAATTCAACTTATAAGTAGAGGGGCAAGCTAAGTTGATTTACAACTCTGTCCAACTATCATTATTTTATCACAATTAAACCCATCATCATCATCATCATCATCATCGCGAGTAAACTAAGTTAGCCAACCTATCAAACCTATCAACCTTGCACACCCATCATCATCATCCAGTTGGTTTCCCAGGAATTCTTGGCTCCGCATGATATCTCCCTTAGATCCCACGTTCTATGCCCCAGCTCCCCACCGCCGAGCATCCGTCAGCAGGCCAATGCCCGTGGCGATGGCGGCCACCACATGATGCACCATGGCGAGTCGTCGAGTCGTCGAGGCGCGGCCGAAGATTCGACGTTTTTTTAAACGCGGGTGTCTCAACACGGTGACGTTCATGAAGGTCAAAGTTGAGTTGCAAAACTTGGATAATTGGATGATATTGGATGATATTGGATTTTCAAAAAGTCTTGAAATCTGGAAATTGGAATTAAGTATTGGATGAAAACTTGGATGTTCATCTAGGTTTCAGGTGTTCAAGTTCCGGAAAAAAGGATCCAGAAATGCAAGGCACTTAGTCCTGATAACTTCATGGCAGCAGCAAGTCCTTTGGAAGGCAGCCCTTCTCTTCTTGTCAACGAACCAAAATTTGATAAGCATATCTTTGATATCTATGTGCCATGGTCATCAATGCATGTTTTAACAGTATGAGGTATGGTCATCCATCACATTGTGGGAATCCTTGCCTTTTTGGCAATACCCTCTGGTAAGCTAACATAGCTATTGAAAATGGCCATAGAAATAGGTGATTTACCTATTATTTTTCGTACGTTTACCAAAGGGTACAAATCTCTACAAATGGTGGTATCACCATCCTGCAATTCACGGGTATCTAATCCAACTAGGTCCCAACCATGGTGGCCATTCAGACTTAGGAAACTTTTGATCAACCAAGTACCCTCCGCTTCTTTAACTGGATATATGAGAATCCCCCCATTCTTGGGTGATTTTCCCATAGTTTCCTATATGTTCCTATATTTTCTTAGATTTTCCTATATGTTCTTAGATTTTCCTATATTTTCCAATATGTTCTTAGATTTTCCTATATTTTCCTATATGTTCCTGTATGTTCGAAGATGTTTTGTGAAAAAATCCCAGCTGGGATTCATTGGAATCATATATTTATATAATCTAGAATTATGTATATATATATATATATCATTTATTTATGATAGATAATACCATAATATATATATATATATATAATACCATGATATTTATTTATGATAGATTTATTAAGCCATAAATTATATATATATATATATATATATATATATATGGGTAAACTATAATATTTCACTAACCTGGATTAAGGCCCATTTGGGGATGATTCCCCTTATTAACCATGATTCCAGTGAGGTCGCAGTGAGGTCGTTATAATTTACCCAGATTATATGTATTTATATATATATATAGATAATATAGAATTATATATGATTATGGTATATACCATAATAATATGTGTATATATATATATATACCATTATTATATACTATACCATAACCATTACTGGCTGGTGGTATACTTACCCCTCTGAAAAATATGAAAGTCAGTCGGGATGATGACATTCCCAATATGGAAAAATAAAGAATGTTCCAAACCACCAACCAGTAACATAGCTATTGAAATTGGCCCAGTCGAAATAGTTGATTTACCCAACTATAAAATGGTGGATCACCATGAACAAACCCAGATTTCGTCAACAGCAGTGGCGCGTCACCGCACCTTTTCGCCTATGGGGAACGGCAAGCTGGTGCCTGGCAGAAACCAACATCAAAATCTGCAGGAAAAACGACTCATGGTTGATTCAATGGATCGGATTGGTTTACCCTCTGGTAAACTATATAGAATAGCTATGGAGAATCACGATTTTTAATGGGTAAATCCACTATTTCTATGGTGCTTTTCAATAGCTTTTTGTATGTTTAGCAGAGAGTAAGGGAAAATATGTAGGAGAAAACCATGGTGTTTTAATCTGTTTATCATCAAAATTTCTGGGGTTTCCTATAAATCGTCCATCCAATCCAATGATTGATTGAAACCCAATATTCTTCATACGACTGAACATAAGACACACAATATTCTTGGGGAATATGATATACGAAATTGGTTCATAACAATCTCAATTTAATTTTGTTCATAAGATTTCATAATAATATGTCATCCCAACATTGGTGAAATTAAGCAGCAACACTTGTATTTTAGTGGTATTTAAACACATTAAACTCATTAAAATCATATCCAAACATTACATTTATGGCAATGGGTTTATCATGGTTTATCAGTTTGTCACATGAATCCGGATCACCATTTGCGATTCATTCTACATCCCCATTTCGTGCTGAAAAAAAAAATCAACTATAAGATCATCATCTGGTTGGTGGTATACCCCTCTGAAAAATGTGAGTTCGTCAGTTGGGATGATGAAATTCCCAATATGATGGGAAACATAAAATTCCATGGTTCCAAACCACCAACCAGATTTTTGAGTAGTTTTTGATCATCATAAAGGTGAGGATTAGCATGTCACTATGTACTGATCCTTACAAAACCACATGGGTATGGGTCAAAATTAGGTACCCCAAAATTATGGATGGTTAATACTCAACTAGACATTCACATCTGTGGTCCCACATCGGTCTTCCATTTTGACCCACATCCACATACATTCACACCATGGCTTTTCGTGAGCCAACAAAACATCCCCATGGCTTTCAAAATGGCCGGGTCCCATGCCTTCCATCTTCTCCCAACTGAATGGGAAAAAAAATCTTCCAAAGCACCAAGCAGATATACCCTCTGGTGAACTAACATAGCAATGGAAAATCACCATTTTTGATGGGAAAATCCACTATAAATAGCCATTTTCCATTGCTATGTTAGTTCACCAGAGGGTATATTGAATATATAGTTACCAATCATTAATCATCATTAACCATCATTAACCATGAAAATAACCATGAAAATAACCATGAAAATAACCATAGTTCAGTTGTTTAAGATAAATTCAGAAAAAGTTGATACATGTTGAATCATGTGTGACTGTATCTTACTATATATGCTGGAAAAATATGTCACTATACCAAACACGACCCAAAACTGGTTGGCTTCGTAGATCTTTTGTAGATCTTTGCAATGGGAGATCTGTAAATTTAATGATCGAATGACGATCGTGGTATCTTTCTGAAACATTTTGTTTTCCGACAGTTCTGATATTCAGAGCTTCAATGCTATCACAATTCAGAACAAAACAAGCAGATCTTTCTACAGTTTTGCTGTCAATTGTTATGAATTGCTGTTCCGAAACCAAGTTTGTGTCTTCATGAAACCTACTTAAGCTGAGCCGAAATCCAAGCGAGGCACATATTTAAGTCCTCGGCAAATCGATTCACCAAGGCCCGAAGGTACCCAAAAACTTCGTCCTGTTTGGGAAAGCCATCCTGGTTACCGGTGGTATATCATATACTGGTTGGTGGTTGGTACGCCTACCCCTCTGAAAAATGATGGAGTAAAGTCAGTTGCGATGATGATTCTTCCCAACTGAATGGAAAGTCATAAAATTCATGTTCCAAACCACCAACCAGTATATATAATTATATATAATAGTTACATATACATGTCTACCCTATTACTTCTGGTGGGCATTCAAGATTCAGGGGAAGGCATTATTCGACTGATGATGAAAGGCACAATTTTGGTTAATTTTGACTCACTATGTCAACGCAGGACCTGCAACCTCTGGTTTTGAATCTGCCATGTCAACCATCGTCACCATGTGAACCAGGTACCAATAGATCCAATCGGTACCACTTCAAATAGTATATGATAGTATATATGCAGCACCTATTTGAATATAGATAAGCACTTAAAAAAAACGTTTTGTGAACCCGCAGTTCGCAATCAAAGCAACTGACGAAAAGGGCATGGAATACAGTAACTGACTAACTACTCAATAGCTACCACTTCAGGATCCAAATCCAATAGCTACCACTCGCGAAAATCGCCAGTTCCTGACCCCGTTACTCGCTGTGCCCTCCAGAAAAATAAGGCGAAAACCCCATTCACATATTACTGTAAGTATATGTGTACTTCTAGTAGCTGGGAGTTTCGAAAAATCCCATTATCTTTCAATATAGATGTTATAAGATTTTATAAGTAGCATCCATAAATACTGGAGTTCTTTGCACCAACTTCGCTATCGTTCCCCTAAGCCTTTACGAAAGTGGGATGGTCCAAGTAACCCTCCTCGATGGCTGACGCGTTTTTTTTTTGAAGCCAACGAGACAAGGACCTCGTCAGCTGCCCCCTTAGTGACTTGCTGAAACAGCTTGGGGAGTGGTTTGAACATCTCAAGTGTGGCGATTCTAAAAGAATGGAAGTTAATTGACGTTAATTGGGGAAATAATTAATACATATTACATATTAGTGCTACAATTAAATTCTATATAAATGAAGGTGTGGGACAATCATCGAAGTATATCGAACTGGATGTGGGATGGGAAAATCCATCGAATCCCACATTCATCATGGTCCACATCGCTGTTCCTCGGAAAAAAAAAAGGACAGAACTCATATCCACACAAGATCGATATCCCCTGTAATCAGTTCCATCACAAGTCTGGAAAATCAATGAAAATCACCCATGTTTCCCCAGTTGCAGATGAATTTCCTGAATTTGGGCATTTCCCATCAACAAAGGACCTGGTTTTCATCGCGCCTCCTTCCCCAAGAGATCTTCCAAGGCCAGTAAAGGCTCTGCCTTTGGTGATGCAAATGTTTTATCCATCATGATAATACATGGCAAAAAAATCAATATATGGGACATTTCACTGGTCAATTATGGTGCAAAAGTATGATAAATCTTGTGGTTTCAATGGGATTTGTTGAAGAAATCGAGTCCCGCTTCCAGCCGTGGGAAGCCATTGGGAATCCTCCACCATAGCTTCTTTACTACGAAACAACGGTCTCTGTTGACTTGGAACTGGGGGTATGACGAAACGGAAACCTCCAAATGGGATATAAAGATGATATACATGGAATATATATGATTGGTATATAATGGGATAATGGATGATAATGGGATATTGGCATATAAAAAACATGGGCCAAAAACACACGGGACTTGTGGCTGACCGGTTTATCCCTGTAGCTCCAAATTGATAAATATTTCACAGCCCGTCTGTCACCTGGAGTTCCAGTCTCTGTCCATTGGGCCATTTGTTGGGGAATTTGTTGTGGCTGACCTGTTTCAACAATTGGGGGGTTCCATAAATGGAGCTGCCCATCACAAAAAAAATGGAATATCCAAGA